TGGGCAAGAGCTGCCTCCAGAGGCTGGTCTTGCTGTGCATAGAACTCTGCGTTTTTAAGCTCAACAGGAAACCCCCGCACCCTTCTTGGACCACCTCATTATCTAACCCTGGCACACCTACCAACTCCAGTATGGTAACACCTTAATGGTGACCCATCTTAAAGCTGGCTCTAAGTCTGTCTCAGCTGCTGTGTTTCCTTGCTATGCCTGAAAAAAGAAAAGAGTAAATTCTTTAGCTTTTTCCTACACTTCTCTTCCTCCCTGCTTCTTTTACATTTCCTTTCTTTCTGGTCTTTCACCAATTATTCTAAACTAGGGGGCTGTGGATGGAGAGAGGGCCCAACAGTTAAGAGGCCTCAGCGGAACAGGGGTACAAAGCACGTGACAGCGCGCCACTCACTGTCATTTTGGTTCCTTGGGTTGTGGCGTCCTCTTCTGGCCTCTTCAGGTACTGCATGCACGGGTGCACAGACAGGCAAACACCATACATCAAAACAAAGCCAAAGAAACAAACAAAAACCTCAAACAGAACAGAACTGAGGAGGGCTGGAGAAGTAGTTCAAAGATTAAAAGAGTGTTCACTGCTCTTATACAAGACCCTAATTTGGTTCCCAGAAAAAGCAGACGGGATAGCTTCAGGGGATCTGACATCTCCTATGTACATAAGCACACACACGCACAACTAAAAATAAACAAAAAACTAAATAAATAAATAAAACTTTACAAATGACTTAGTTGGATATGGTAGCACATACCTGCAATCCCAGCCCTTTGTAGCCTGTGGCAGGAGCAATGCCATGTGTTCACAAAGGCCAGCCTGGGCTACATAACAACGGGCTGTCTCGGACAAACAAGCCAATACAGCACAACCCTACAGTGTGCCAGGCACTTGTCTGGGCCTGGGAATCAGCTGTGCCCATCTGACTGCGTCCCTGTCCTGGAGAAGCCCACAGACATGACGTCTCAGACACGCAGATCAACACCGTACTCTGAGAGAGCAGAGCTTGGGTGGGGAGCGCTGGCAGAGCCCTGTGACCCTGGAGGCTAGAAGCAGCCTGCGGGCCGGGGGTCAGGAACTTGAAGGAAGCAGAGACGTTTCTGAAAACACAGCGGTCCTGAGGCTGAGCTCTGTCTCGCTGTGGCTTGCCCCTGCTACAGTTCATGCTGGAACTTGGTTTCCGGTGTAAGAGTTCGGAGAGGAGGGGGGATCTGAGTGGGCGACGAGGTTGTGGGCGCCTGCCCACGCTGGGCTCAGTGCGGTTTTCCAGGGACAGGGTCAGCGCCTGCAAGAGTCGATGGGCAGGAAGATCGCCTGCCTTGCGCCAAGTTATGAGAGCGCGAGGCCCTCGCAGGTGCAAACGCACAAACATGTAAATTTCCAGCCTCAGTCTCATAGCAACAGAAAACAGCCTGAAGCAGCCCACGGTGGGAACAGGGAACGTGTTTAATGCCACGAGCGGCTGTGCTGGCTCCTTCCCAAGCACGGCCTGCAGCTGTGTGTGGATTGTACTGGGGAGGGACAGAAGCGCGGGGTGGGGGAGGGGGAGGGCGTGTCTCACCCAGGCAGTGTTGGCCCATGGACAGACAGGGTCTCCCTGCTCTGGATGTCACACACCCTGGATGACGGGAGTCTGAGATCGGGTTCCCAGCCACGTCCCTTCTGAGACTCTGGGTAGGGTTTTCCTTGCCTCTTCCTGCCTGCTGCTGTTTCTCCTTGCTCCTCCTCATCCCTTGTCATTCAGCATCTGTCTGGTCCCCGCCTGTAGTCACATGGCATTTCCTCCTTTTTAGTTTTCTGTTTTTGAGAGAGAGAGAGAGAGTCTCGTGTAGCCTAGGTTGGCCTCAAACTCCCTATGCGTCCGAGGCTGGACTCAAACTCAAAATCCTTCCTCCTCCACATTCCGCTCTTACGAGGACCACAGGACTGTGTGCACTGCCATGACTCGAGCCCAGGGCTTCCTGCATGCCACGTAGGCACAGTGCCAATGACGCTACATCCCATCCTGGTTTGCTTATTTGCGTTTTGTTATTTTAGATACCTATTTTTATGTGTGTGAATATTTTGCCAGCATGGATGTGTGCCACGTAGAGTCCAGAAGGGGGTGTTGAATCCCACTGGGTTGGGGTTAGAGGTGGTTGTGAGCCGCCTCGTGTGTTCTGGAAACTAAATCTGGGTCTTCTGGAAGGGCAGCCGGAACTCTTAACTGCTGATCCCTCTCTCCAGCCCCTTCCTCAGACTCCTGAGTGCTGGGATTACAGACCTACACTGTCAGGTCTGTCTTCCTTTTTAATTTGTTTTTGTTTTTTATAGGAACAAGCGACATTAGATTAGGGGTTGTGGAATTACCTCACCCTGACTTGATGGCGTCTGTAAAATCAGAAGAGACCTCCCCATGTACTTGGGCAGGGTACAAGGGCACTAATAACAGAGAAGCGGTTTCATGGGCTTTCCTGAAGTGGGCAACTGTGACCCTGTTTTGAGGTCATGCAAGTCGGCGGATGCCTGGTGGCTGCATATGTGTGCTGGCCTGCACAGCGAGACCAGCCGTAACACCTTGTGCCCTCTGCTGTGCAGTGTGCAAAAGCACAGTGGAGACCACAGGGCCATTCTTCAGATGCTCGGGGACCTCTCCAGCCGTGCTGAGACTTCTCGGGCTGCGGACGGCACTGCTGTGCCATCTGATGGACTGGTTTTCTCTCCGTCAGCCTGGCTCTGTGACCCTCAGCTGGTTTCTCAGCCTCTCTGAGACGCTTAGGGAAGCAGCGAGGGTCACCTATGTTTTCATGCCTCTCACCAGCCAGCAACCACTCATCAATTATAGTCATAACTGTGTGAGTGCCTGCAAAGCCCTTAAGACCAGCAAACAGGAAGTGCTGAGGGATTAAGCGGTATTTCTGGAACCTGCTATCTGACAAAGTTGTTCTCCTTGGGTCTTCAATAGCCCAGAGAAGTCGATTGCAATAATAGCTAATAATACAGTAACATACACTAGTAATTGGCATTTCTAGGCTCCTTGAGGCCCAAAGAGATATGATTATGAGGTTTCTTAATCCAAGGATACTATCATATTTACACCATTGTAGCTCTCTGATTAATAAAAAGCAGGGCAAATTAGCATATAGATTTGAGGTGAAATGTATTTTCCTCGGAATAATTTCTTTCATCAATTTTTTAAGAAAAAGGTTGCATACATGTTGGCGTGTGTGTTCGTAGGTATGCCTGCAGAGGTCAGGAAAGGGTGTGGGATCCCCTGAAGCTAGAGTTCTAGCTGGTGGTGGGTAACAGTGTGGGTCCTGGGAACCAACCTCAGATTCTCTGGGAGAGCAGGGAGTGCTCTTGACTGCTGAGCCACCTCTCCAGCCTCACCAGTATTTTCCTTGCCTTTTCCCTCTATAGTTTAAGCACTGGTGCGGACTTCGGAGAACAGCATACCTTTACAAGGTCACGGAAGTGTGGGTGATGGCTCTAGTGGCGGGGGGGGGAGGGGGAGGCCTTCTTGTGGAAGGCTGAAGAATCCTGGAAGAGGGAACGTTCATGGGTAAAACAAGAACAGTCTCACAGCATCACAGCATGTGATGGACATCTTTAACCCCAGCCCTAGGGAAGCAGAGGCAGGTAGAACTCTGTGAGTTCAAGGCCAACCAGGGCTTCATAAGGAGACCTTGTCTTAAAGCAAAACAGACAAAAACAACCACTGGAACAGTTGGCCTCCCTAACTTCTCCCCACACAGCTTGGGCCTGAAGCTTAATCTCAAGAGACAGAATTAATCCACACACAGTGGGGAATTAGGATCTGACAGCTCTCAGACTGACAGCCGAGTTCTGGCTTTGGCACTGATTCATTCTGCGATCTGGGGTAATTAAGCTCACCGTCCGAACCGTGGTTTACAAAACCAGGAAGTTGTTAGACATTTAGGTTTGGCATATCAACACTCAGATTGAATTTGGCATGAGAGAGTCCGCAATTGTCACTTGGCTGCTACTAGTGACAACTAGTGACAATTAGCTACTAGTGACTAGTGCTACTTGTGCTACTAAGGTCCTAGCTGGAGGCCTCCTTAGACTCTCCTGTGTCCCTGAAAGGGCTGTCACCTGGGGGAACTGCATGCAGGGAGTTACAGCTAACTCTGGTATAATCCACAAGAGAATTCAGACCAATGAGGGCTCTTGGGTGGAGGCCAGGTATTTTGGAGATTAAAGAGCAGCTGTGTGAAGCAGTCTGGGGTGGCAGTAAGCGAACAGGTCTACGGAGACACGCTGCCAGGCCAGGAAGTATAATGCTAGGCCATTGGGTATAATGTGAATGGGCACGGAAAATGAAAAAGCATTGGGGGTGGGAGTGGAGGTGGGGGTGGGAGAAAGGTTCCTTAGCACATGGTCCTGAGTCTGAGTCTGGTGTGACCTCCCCCACCCCCTGCAAACCCCTCGCCCACTTAGAATCCAGTTCCCACATCCGGAAAGGGACAGTAATTGTGTCTGCCTCACAGAGTTACCGTGAGAAGTGGTGTGATTTAGGCCCTGCTGCCCCACGCCCCATGGAATGCTCCCAGCCTCCCTGTCACATGCAGACACACACACACACACACACACACACACACACACACACACACACACTTCATGCACACACTCATTTTTAATCTCTGCTCTAATCTGGTTGCCACTTCCGCCAAACAGGTCAGTAAGTACTTGCTGTATGACCTTAGCAGTCATATCGCCTCCTTCCTGGTTTGTCCCCTGGGATAATCATAATCTCCACCACACTTTTGTGTCGAAGGAACACCCACAAAAGCGCTTGTCCACTAGAATGGGGGCACATATCCAGCGCTCGGCCACACACACGACTTTCCATGTCTTGGCAGCTTGTGGAAGGCCCTGAGCCACACATGACTTGGGCAAGTAATAGGGGATCGCGGCCCCTCTGTCGCACTCCGTTCCACAGACACCCTCCAAAGGTCGCCTCCCAGAGTAAACACAGTGAGGCCAGTTAACAAAACACACCAAATTCCTTTACTTCTGAGCCTCCCCTTGTGAGAGAAGGCTGGAAATAAAGGCGATTTAATTTTAAAAATGGCATCATTAGTTAAATACTTCTCGGTTAGGGCCTCTCTCGTGCAGAGAAAACAGTCCCGGTCAGCCAGGACCCTGGGGTCCCCAGGGCGGCACCAGGCGTGGCTGGGGAAGACTAGGTGCCAGAGGCTCCCTGCCTGGTCCCTCTGCAGCAGGAAGCCAAACCAGATCAGTCACCACCTTAGAAAGTCCCTAAGGAGCTTCCAGAGCTTGGTGACCCAGAGATTGGCACCGAGGTCAGACAGGTACTGGATCTCGGGCGTGAGCATGCGCCGGCAGAGCTGCTCGTGCTGAGGCTCGATGCTTTTCTTGAGGTTGTAACCCAGGATGGACTTGATGCCCAGGGGCTGCCAGGGCTGCATGGCCGAGTCCTCGATGGCCTCGGCGTCCACCGCTTGGCCGCCATCGATGCAGACGCGGCGCATGCGCTCGTTGGCCCGGCGCAGCTCGGCCACCGAGCGCGCCATGCGCTCCCGCCCGAAGGCCTCCACCTTGCGCCAGAAGCTGGCGTTGAAGTGGCGGTAGAGGCGCGCGTCCAGCAGGTTCCAGGCGGTGGCGCGGCGGTACAGCTCGCCCGAGAGCCTCGGCACCGGGGAGTCCCGCCGAGCGTTGAGCTTGAAGTACAGCACGTCCTCCAGGTCCCAGCACAGCAGCTCCCGGAGTAGCACCAGGGACTCGTCGAAATACTCCTGCAGCAGCACCAGGTGGAAGCGGCTCTCCACCTCCTGGATGTGCTCCTGCACGCGCGGGCTGCCCGGGTCCAGGCTGCTGTCGTAGCCCAGGTCGAAGAAGAGCAGGTTGCGGAGGTAGTGCGCGTTGTAGCCGCTGGGGTCGTAGTAGCGGTCGGGGTCCCGCAGGAACTCGGCCAGCTTGTCGCGGCTCGACAGCTTCCAGGTGAGCGGCACCACCGACCCGAAGTAGTGGAAGGAGGACTCGAAGAGGCGCGCGGGGTCCCTGAGGACGGTGATGAAGGCGGCGCCCGGCCGCACCAGCCCGCGCACCTCGTCGTAGTGGAAACGCATGTGGTTGCAGATGATGTTGAAGCACGCCCCCGGCCGGTAGTCCTGCACCAGGCTGCGCGTGAAGAAGGACGGGTAGTGGAAGTCGTTGCGGCCATTGGGGAAGGCGAACTTGAGCCCGTGCTTCTGGCCGAAGCGGAAGAGGATGTTGAGCAGCGTGCTGCTGCCCGTCTTGTGCGTCTTCATGAACACGATGTCTCGCCGAGGTTGGCACCCTCCCGCGGAGCCGTTGGCGGGAGTAGCCGCCTCTGGCTCACTGGGAGCCGGGGAGCAGGGCGCCGCGGCCTCTGAGGTCCTGCAGGGGGGGGGGGGGGGGAGACAGGGATGGAGAGAGGTCAAGGGGTTGTGTGACAGTGGGAGGGGCCTGAGCTGGACCCAGCAGCGCCAACCAATCGCCTTTTGATGGATGCTAGAAAGCTACTCTTTGAAGGATTTACTTATGTTTGTTTTATGTCCACTGGTTTTCTGCCTGCACTTTTGGCGTGTGTGAGAATGTCAGATCCCCTGAAACGGGAATTACAGGCAATTGTGAACTGCCACGTGGGTGCTGGGAATTGAACCCGGGTCCATTGGAAGAACCGCTGAGCTACCTCTCCAGCCCCTTGTTTTGTTTTGTCTTTAGATCAGTTATTGGCAATGTTTTCCCAATACCTTAGTACTGCTAACTGAGGCACGGGCTGCAGCAGGTATATGCTGAGCAGCCTCGTGAGGAGATGATTGCTTAGGAAGGGAGACATGAGTCACCCAGAGCCAAGTTTGAAAAGTTTGAACCCGGGCCCTGTGGCAGATGCGTGTTCTGGGACAAATCACGCTCCATCTCCATCCCGGTCCCTACTGTGGCCGTGTTGGAGCCTCAGCTTATAATCCAAGCACCGGCCAGGGTCAGGTGGCTTTCCTGTTCTGTGGACCAGGCTCTGCCCTTCTGTCCACTTCACTGAGGCCGGAGTTGCACCAAGAGTTGTGCCAGAATGCCTGCCCCACACACAGCGCAGGTGGCGCAGGGTAGCCGTCTGAAAGAAAGCTTCAGCCGTAGACCATGAAGGTGCCCGCTCCCAGTGTGACGTCACTCACGTGAAGGGCATGTTGGGGTGGAGTGGGGGCACCACATAGGAGTAGAGCAGCAACAGGAACCCGGTAAGGAGAGCCCCCAGCACCAGCCCCTTGGCCTTGGACTCCCAGGGCTTCTTGGACAGCAGACTCATCTCAGGGAACTGCTAGGGACAGACAGACAGAACAGAAGGGTCAAGAGGTTGGTCCCGAGGAGTCTCCACGGCTGCCAGAGCTCAGGACAGGCTGCTGTTTGGCCAGGATCCTGACAGGGGCAGAGAGTTAGAGAGCTAGGCGACAGTGAACTCAACAACTCAAGGAGAGGAGGTGGAATGGGCAGAGAGAAGGTTCTGCGGAGCATGGTTCTAACTTTAAGCTGACTAGTAAGGACACGGGTGAGGGCTGCCTTCTTTGAAGATCTTTTGGGCTTTACAATGAATGCATTCCGAGGGACAGAAGAAGAACCCCTCTCGGACTCTGTGCCCCAGGCCCTGTTCACAGGGAAGGCTAGAATCTTTTCTAGCTCAGAGGGCAGGGCCAGCTTTCTCTGACCCCTGCACTGCCTTCCCTGCTGCAATAAAAAAAAAGAAAAAAGAAAAAGATATTTAGTTGTATAGTTATGTTCCAAATACTGCTTGGAATGTACTTATGATAAAAACTGCTAACTCAGCTGGGCAGTGGTGGCTCACGCCTTTAATCCCAGCCCTTGGGAGGCAGAGGCAGGAGGATCTCTGAGTTTGCAGCCAGCCTGGTCTACAGAGTGAGGGCTCTGTTACACAGAGAAACCCTGTCTTAAAAACAAACAAAACTACTAACTTGCTTTAACAGGGTATCTTGATGTGCCGTTGTTGTGCTATTTGGTTTTGGTTGTTTTGTTTTTTTTTTTCTCCCAGGGGGTGGTTTGATCTGGATACGGTGGCCTTATCCACAGGAGACAGATGCGAGTGCTAATGGGTTAGGTCCGAGCTTTAAAAGTCCAGGGGAGAGTTGAAGCTGGGAGATAGTTGGACCTTTCTGCCTCCCCGTGAGTGTAAAGTCAAGGTCTGAAACTTTCCACTTCTCCCCTAGCTGATGCTCCCAAGCCCCCGAGGCTGCGGAGGTCACACACGCTGCCCTGTGAGCACATGCGTGGCACGCTTCCAGGTGCATCCGGAGGCAGCCCTGCCGGGAGCCTCCCTGGAAGAGCTAGCTAAGGCACCCACAGCTGCTGGCTGAGGGAAGCCCTGCGGGCCCAACCCCCAGAAGAGGTGGCAGCAACCTCTGAGCCCTTGGCTCCTCAATTAGGAAGTTTACCTCACAGAAAAGGACCGAGTGAGGCAATCGGTGGGGGAAGAAAGCATACAGGAGGAAATCTTCCCTCTCCTGTGACAATGGGAGAATCACTGCTTATCCTGTAAGGCTGGGTAAAGGCCAGGGAGGGTGTTTTCAGAGGGCAGCAATGTCAGTGAGGCACGCTGACTTGCCACTGTTCTATGGAAACACTTGGAGAGACAAGTGGATAGAGTCGTGTGTGCCAAGGGTGTTCACGGCAACTTGATAAGACACAGAAACTTTGGTGTGTATCAGCAAGGAACAAAAGGGACATCATACACACACGCTCCCATTCTCAGAAGTCACCTATATTTGGAAAAAATAGAAATGAAAGCCAGCCAACCACGGAAACACATACGTGAGGCCCTTGTTCAATTCCCCAGCAATGGAAGCAGCAAACAAAAAGAACACAGAGCCTGTATCTAGAAGACGGAGCTAGCCTTAGCTACATGTCCAGTTTGAGACCAACCTGGACTACATAAGGTCTTGTGTCGACACACCAACAGAAGGCTGGGGAGGTGGCTCTGTGGTGGTTGAGCGTGCTAGGCTGGGTCCAGTTCCCAGCACCCATACAGGTGGCTCACAACTGCCTGCAACTCCAGCTTCCTGATGGCTTCATCTAGATGCTGCGGGCGCGCGCACACGCGCACACGCACACACACACACACTTCAGAAGAAATAAATCTTATCCAGGCAAGGTGGTGCACACCTTTAATCCCAGCACTTGGGAGGCAGCATCAGGCAGATCTCTACGAGTTCTATACTAGCCTGGTCTGTGTAGTTAGTTCCAGGCCAACCAGGGCTACATAGTGAGACCCTGTCCACCCCTCCCCGCCTCAAAAAGAAAAAAAAAAAAAAAACCTAGAAAATCCTAAAGTGATATGACTCCTCCTCCCAGTCCATATATGCACCTAGGTAAGCATACATGAGAGCCTAGACAAAAGCAAACGGCTACTGAAGGGCAGCGAAGAGAGTACATACTTCAGCAAAAATGCCTAGACCCAGAGGCACTTCTGATTTTGTACGTTTTTATTCTGGGTTACTTTCATATGCATAAAGAGATATCTTGGAAAGCCTGGGAGATGGTGCAGCTGGTAAAAATGCTACTTAACATAAAGATGAGTTCGGTTTCCCTAACGCCACATTAGAAAGCAAAAGCCAGATGCAGGGCACACTTGTAACTTTAGTTCTGGGGACAGGTGGACCCCTGGGGCGCAGTGGCCAGCCAGCTTAGGCAGGCAATGAGTTTCAGGTTTGGCAAGAGCTTCTACCTCAAGAAGTAAGGTGGATGAAGACGGGTGTGGTGTGCACCTTCAATCCCAGCACCGGAGGGATCAGAAGCAGGCGGATCTCTGAGTTCGAGGCCAGCCTGGTCTATAGAGTGAGACCCAGGCCAGCCAGGGCCACACAGAGAAGCCCTGTCTCAAAAAATACAACAAACAAACAAAAAAGTAAGGTGGACAGCAAAGAGGACACTTCATGCTGACCTCTGAACTCTACTCTGCATACATGTGCATACAAATGCACATACTTACATGAACATGTGTTTACACGTATGAAAGATCTTGGTAACACTCAAAATCTAAACATGAAATTCATTTGCTATATACCTAAAATGCATAGCCAGAAAGGATTTTATACGATATTTGTCGTGCACCTATGTTTTGACTGTGTCTCATCCCATGAGGGCAGATGTGGAGTTTTCCACTTGTGGCGTCATATGGACATTCAAGAAGCTGCAGATTTTAGATCATCCTCAGTTTCAGATTTTGGATTAAGAATGTCAGCCTGTGTTCTCCATTCCCAGAGTCTATTCCTCTGAGCTTATCTGGGGAGAGGTATAGAAAGAAATATTTCTCTAAGTCACTCACTTTCACAACAGTTGCGTTTTTAAAAGGATCCCATATGCTATTTAATAGGAAAAGGGACAGTATTTTGCCTCTAGGTCGGGTTTGGGGTTTTGCCCCCCCCCCCTTTTTTTTCCCCTAACTAATACTGGGATTAGCCCAGGGCTTCAGTGTTCCAGGCAAGAATTCTACCACTGAGCTATGCACCCATTCACATTTTAAAGTTTACAAAGTGCAAACCGGATGTGGTGACACATGGCTGTAATCCCAGGGGAAGCTGAGGGTCAAGAGTTCAGGCCAGCCTGGGCTACATCATAACACTGTGTCACAAAAGCCAAACTAAAAAACAAACAAACAAACAACAGTCAGGCGGGGAAGGTGTGGACCCCAGCATCTGGTGTGTTTGCTTGTGTATTTGCTTGTTTGTTTGAAGACAAGGCCTCACTATGTAGCTCTGGCTGACCTGGCACTCTCTTTGTAGACCAGGCTGCCCTCCAACTCACACTGATACGCCAGACTCTGCCTCCCAGAGTGCTGGGACTAAAGGCGTGAGCCACCACACCCAGCTGGACCCCTCAGAGCTAGGCTTTGACGTTGGCTTCAGACAAGCTAGAGTGCCCCTCGGAGTCTGTTTATCTATAAGCTGGAGAGAAGCTGGGGAGAGGAGTCTAACCGGGCCCTGGAGAGCCGCCTCCTGAGCAGTCAGTCAATTCTAGGTAAGGAATAGTGGTACGGGACTGGGAGATGCTGTCTAACTAACCACAAATCCGCCAGCTGAGTTCCGGTCCGCCAGCCTGGAGGAAGAGGGCGGGGTGCTGGGGTGCAGGGGTGCGGGGTTGGGCAGAAATTCAGCCCACAGCCCAAGGCTCAGGCTTGGAACAGACAGTGAGCACAAGGCCTTAGTTTCTCTGGTGGTGGAGGTGTCAAGATTCTCGTGGCTGGCCCTTGGCTAACAGGCCCACCGTGCTCAGCCCCACTCACCAGCGTACTTTCCGGAACTCCGGAGAAGCTGCCGCGGTGGAGGTCCACGGTGGAGGACCGGCAGTAGGGGGCAGACCAGCATCCTAAGCTGCCAATCAGGGGCTTCCTGACCCCACACCCGGGGGCGGCTTGTTCCCTCATCCAGGAAACATCACTGATTTGCTCGTTCATTAATTCTCCTCTTTGGTTTTTTTCCAAACCTCACCTGGGCACTGCGTGTACTGAGCCCTGACGGGGCCACTTGAATCTGTGATAGAAGCCAGGCCTGGGGCAGGAGCTTTTCCATAGTCACTAACTGACTCAGCTCGGTGTGTGCCACTGTGTCGTACCATCAGCCCATTTTGTAGATGGAGAGACTGAGGCTTGCTCAGGGTCATTCGGCAGGTAAAGACAGGGCAGGCTTTTGAGTTAGTATCTGTGGATCTCCTCTGGGTAGCTTCTTGCTTTGTACATAGCAACTCCGGTCTGGGAAGGGCCGGGAATGCAAAGGTCAAGGCCTGGGTCTATGTCCCAGGACCATAGAATTTTCTGACCGTGGTGGGCAGAGCTGACAGCCAATATGAAGGGAGGAGAAGCAGAGCCGATGGTTCGCTGGTTCTGCTGGGCCAGCTTCTTGAGGTGTTCAAGGCTCCTCACCCTCTTGCTGCCTGGCCTCTGTGAATTTGGCAGCAAAACTCCTTCTCTGAGTCTCAGTCTGCTGGAGCAGATGTTGGATACACAGTAGCAAAGAAGAAGAGAAGGCAGGCCTTTCTAGGGGCACTGGGTGAGTACCTGCGCACACTAAGGCCAGACAGGATGGCGGGTACCCAAGAGCCTGGCTTGAGGGAAAACAACCCCAAAGCTATGGGGTTCCAATGACAGGGGATCAGAGTATTAATTATTAATAGCAATGACAATTAATCGTCGTCGTCATTGTTGACTGGGGCCTGTTCCTATCTCACAGGAGAGGTTCACCCCCCTTCCCACACACACACTTGTGACTGGCTTGCAGGTGAGTCACCCTGGAGATTCTTGAGCCTGGCACTTGG